CCCACTATAAATTTACAAATATCTATGCTCGGATTCGAACCAGGGATCCTTAGTACCGCGTCAAGCAACATCCCCGTGCATTTCTGAGCTAAACGGACAAAGTTGTTCTTGGAAAGGCGCGATGCTCCCCTCAAAATGACTCTACTCGAAATGGCTAATCAAATTGTCGAAAAGGCGAGGATCCGTGGAGACGAGTGGACAAAGACAATGGAGAAACGCATCGACCAACTTTGCCCAATTTAACCACTGACTTAGTCGCCGTCAATGCTGAGTCAATGCTACAAAAAGTTTGGCCCTTCTTCTTCATTTTTTATCGTCAATGGGCTTTTCACCTCCTTAAGAAGAAGCCAACAAGTTAGAAGAGTCGTACGTGCTGCAAACTGAAAGTGCTAAAATTTGGGAGTCTGTCGATCCATTCACTGACAATGTGGAGTTCAATGTTAATCCTTTGAATGCACATTCCACGCCATGGCAGGAAGAATATAAAAATAATACAATAATAATGACATTTTTCTACTCATATTAAATAATAGGTAGAATACTGATGGGTTTTTAATTGAGAAAGTTATCTATTATTCAATATGTTTTCATTATTCAACTGTTGTCAGCCAATCGTATTCCGAGTTTGTCATTACTCTTCAACTCCCATTGTAGGGTTGCCTTGGAAACATGTGTGTAGCAAAATCATGATCTCGGATCGCGATAAATTCAGTTGTCAAACATTAATGCCAATCAAACAAATTACGAGAAATCAGTTTTGTGAAAATTACGTGAAAATGGACAGTAGTGAAATCATGATGAACAGTGACGACGATATAATTCTAACTCCTCCGGATTTTACGTACATTGCTAATTTTGTCAATTGTTTGATGACATAATAAAACCATTACTTATGCATAATGTTATTATTACTGTAATTATTGAATACAAGTAGAAAAAGTATAGTATTTAACTCGTGAGAAAGGCATTATTCACTCAGAAAAATTACGCCACTCGTCTTCTACTCGTGGCGCAAATCTTATCTTCGTGAATAATTGCCAACTTTCTCACTCGTTGAATAATATACTATTATTTAGGGACATAAAGGAAAAGCCGAAAGGCAATTACTCCCCGCTCTACAAGCTTCTAAACTGAAATTAACTTAACAATGTGATAATCTAACTATAAGGCACATCGAATACTAAAACAAATCACTATTATTTAAATACTTAATTAACAAAACTATAAGCATGAGAACAACAAATCAGACAATTCCGTAACGTAAGCATTAATAAGTATGGAAATGAATACAAGCAATTTCAAAAAAGAAAAGAAATCATGGACTTCCCGGGAAGGTGTAGCCACTGAACCTAAAGTAGCCCGCCCGCTTCAACATTCAAAGTCATTGTTGATCCTCGTCCAGTAGAGATGATCCCGTACCGCCGACTACCCGAAGCAGGTCTGAAATCAACTACAATAGCGTATATACAAATCAGTTCACAAGGTTTTGTACCCTCCCCGATGACATTGATTGGATATGTTTATTTATTTAATATTGTCCCTCTTGTTCTAGGTCCTCAACAGGCTTACGCCCAATTTCAGAGTGACCCTCATAATGCTTTTTTAGAGGTGCCCTGCAGAAGGTCTTATTTTTTTTTTAAATTTTATTATCCCTCTCTTGTTTTGGGCCCTCAACAGGCCTGCGCCCAATTACAGAGTGACCCGCATAATGCTATTTAGTCCATACTACTCCGGAATTTACCTTACAAATTAGGAAAACTGCAGAAAAACCTAATTCGGAGTATCCGGCAGAGTGCTCGAATTCGAACTCGAACTGATCTAAGGAATTCCCATCTCTGCCACAGATGATTTGTAGCCCAACGCTCTACCACTGAGCTACAAAGACGGTACGGTACGGAGGAAAAAACTCTGTACATTCACCATCTGTGCCTGGGTGGAATGGTTTTATGGAGCTTGGAACCAGTGGTAAAAGGTATGGATGCTCGAAAATAGTTTTCACCCAGGGAATATAGTAAGGTATACAGGGTGATTCCTATAGTACCTGCTCTTAAACAGTGCACCGGTAGGAACGTGATGTAGTGGTTAACAACAATAAACCAGAATGTGGTTGTCAGGCTACGTAGATTTCACCTATTAATGTCATTTATGGTGTCGATTTGGACGATCATGGATGGGAGTGGGTTGAAAGGGCTATTCAGTACAATTTACGGTACCCACAGTGTTGAAAAAATCTTAACAGGGTATGGCTCGAGATATGGTTACCCTACAGGAAATGATAAATCCTCACGAATATATGAGGTTCACAACAGATGGCTACTTCACCATTCGCCACAAATAGAATTGTTCGCTTAGAGACATCTTCACGGCATGACAACCCGAGGAGCGAGAGGAAACATGGACATTGGAAAACTGCGGGGATAGTTGACTGAACACACTCCATTCCTTCACATCCAGGCGATAGTTTCGCTGAGCACAGGAATCGTTGGTCATGGTGTAGTGAACTGTCACTCAGCACGAGAGATAGATATATCGTGCATAAAAAATGTAGTGGGGAGAAATGAAAGAATCTGAAACGGAAAGATAGGGTCGTGACTCGCGCTTCCGTTTCTTACTCGCTGAAAATTGCTGGCAAAAAAATGTACTCTGACTTCCAGCAATCAGCATGCCTGCGCTGCCAAAAAATCTGAATAAGATCTGAAAGAACTTTTCCCTATGTCACTCTTCACTGAGGAGGAACTGCGCAAGGGAACACAGCCTGCAATGTACTCACTCTTCACTCCCATCGAGGAAGTCAACCTTGGCAACAAAAAGTTTAACGTGATGGATGGAAGATACCTAATACATAAAGTGACGTGGAACAAAAATTCGTGATTCCGTGTCCTACGTACATAAACTACGTGCAGGGGCACTTTGGTAGCAATGTGTTTGTTGTATTTGACGGACTATCAAAGCACCACAGTCGCAGAACGAGATCGTCGTTTTGCATTATAATCAGCAACCAAGGTCGTATTCTCCTCCTCTACTATGGTGATCGTAGCACAAGAAAAGTTCTTGGCAAACGATAAAAGTGAAAAATCGCAATCATATCGATGTTGATGGTATGAATGGTGGATGCTACCATCTAAGTGAAGCAGGCATTGTCAACGTGATGATCGTCAATTCAAAGCCAGCGAATTCGAGAAATCATCATTACTACTGAAGATATATTTATTATGTTGACAACATTAGGTATACGTGCAGAAAGAATATCTCTAGGAATATCTGTGTTCAGAAAAGTGGAAGAGGCAGTGATTCCAGTGGCCTCTGCTCGCCAAGCTCCTGCTCCTTTTCTCCGAGGTACCTGCTTTTCCTCCACGCAGTGACGAAGAATATTTTCAGCATCTACAAGAAGTATCCCTCTCTTTCTGCGCCAATAGCTCCATTTCTTACACCAGTTCCTGGCGCCTTGTGGCGGCGACATTCACAATGACAACCTCGATGGTTTACAGTACCGATTATTCCCAAGATCAGTGACGAATGTAAAACTGATTTGAACGAGGAGGACCAATATACGACGTCATTGACAGTTTAACTTCCCAGACTATAATCATAATGGGTAACTGGAACCCGAAATGAGTAGCAAGAAACAAATCTGGCAAAACAAAGGGCGAATACAAACTGTACTCCAGCGAATGTACAGCTAAATATCCTAAAGTGGATGGAACCAAATATACATGGTGGGCCATTAGTGCGTGTGTGGGTGTATTAACGAACATATTTAAAATTCATTGTCAGGGCATGTTATACAGGGTGATTTATATCAAAATTGCATTTTTTGAGCATTTCCACAAAAATAAAAGACGCCCCCGTGCCTGTCCGTCCGCCCCTACGGCTGTGTCGCTACTAAATCTCCTTCCCGGACAATTGCCAGAAAACAATTTCCCGAATGACAATTCCCCGAAAACAGTTGCCCGAATGGACAATTACCCGAATGGACAATTTCCCGAAAGGAGAATTAACCGAAAATTGTATTTTATCACAACTTTATAAATTTAATAAGTACATCCCATTAGTCTTAATACTATAATAATTAAGATTAACTTCACTTATTGAATCCAGTCAGACGGTTTAAAAAGAAGGTACGAAACTGATGCAGATGTTGCTTTAAAGCTCCGATTATTGTCGGCCTTAGCATTCGTAGCTACTGCAGACGTTGCGGAGGCATTTGAAACCATTATAGTATTAAGACTAATGTAGGGACTTATTAAATTTATAAAGTTGTGATAAAATACAATTTTCGGTCAATTCTCCTTTCGGGCAATTGTCCATTCGATCAATTGTGTTTCGGGAAATTGTCCATTCGGGAAACTGTTTTCGGGGAATTGTCTTTCGGGAAATTGTTTTCGTGCAATTGTCCTAGACCCTTAAGAGCTAATGTTCCACTTTTTCGCAATTTGGTTCGTTATAGTATCGAAGTTTGCACCACTTTTTTTCATGTACCATAATTTTACACATTGTTAGTTTATTGTGCTTATAAATTTTGTACTTTAAGATGCTTCTTATAAAATCAAATTGAAATCACGGGTCAAAGATTAGGTTGTCCAATGTCAATGCGCAGTGCTAACATTATTAAAAATAAAAAAAATATCGCATTTAACATAAAACTTAGAAGGCCGTGACTCTACGGGGTTACTAACCACGAAATGTATTAACATACCAGGAACGGTCAAAGTTTGTTGTGTTATGAAAAACTACTCTGTCAATTTTCAAATTTCGAGGTCAAGATAACTTGATTTTTTTTAATCGAATCTACTTTCTTCCCTCCTGGAAAAATAAGTTTTATAAAATATGACTTCCCCATCCTTCAAAATGACAATTATTATGAGACTGATTACAATATAATCGTGAATAAAAGATATTATTTTTACGCAGTGCATATATGAATAAACAATGACTACAGTGGGGTCAATTCATATTACCTATAACATTATTGTTTTAAATTCCCATATGTATGTATTTATTCCCCACGTTTTTTGTCATGAGACTTGATACTGGCAGTGTAATAGTTATTAGTGATAGTCCTGCTTTACGGTTGGCATTACCAACAGAGAGTCAGTCAATAATTTTGGTTCGAATTTTCAGCAACAAATGGCCTATAAACTCGTCGTAGAATGTCCTAGTGCAGATCTAAAGGAGGCTACTTTCTTTAAAAAGATGAGCAGCGTGTGGTGGGACTCGAAGGGTCCGTATCGTGGTCAGTATCTTTACGATTCAGCGGTAGTACCTTACATGGTGGAAGAAATTGCTAGCTCTGGGATGCTCAACAAAAAATATGATGGAAGTTCGAAACCGTTTACAGGACTGAAGATTTTAGAGGTGGGGTGTGGAGGTAAGATTACACACTTGTTAAAAAGTGACACCTTTTGTTTTATATTAAGGTGGAATTGTGTGTGAAATGTTGTCGAAATATGGTGGTGATATCACCGGGCTTGACATAAACAGGTGTGTTTTGGATGTTGCGAAAGAACACCTAAATCGCGCCGATCCAAAGATTACGAATATAAACTACATTTTGCAATCTGCAGAAGATCACTGTTTAAGTAATGCTGAGAAATACGACGTGGTCATATTAAACACTGTTATTCAACACGTGGTTGAGAAAAACACACTACTGAAAAGTTGCGTGCGCTGCCTAAAACCAGGTGGTTCAATACTCATAAGTGGATTTAGTCAAACATGGATGGCCTGGTTTGTGTTGATAATCTTATCCGAATGGTTGGGTTGTACACCTGTGGGTACTTCCGATTGGAGTAAATTGATTACACTTGGAGGTCTTAAAAATATGATGAAGCGGTGTAAGTGGTACTTATCCGTGGAAATCTTTCGCTTAATTCAAATTTTAGATAAGTGCAAATTAGTCGCTTCCAAAGGCATATCTCATAATGTCTTCGCCGATACTTGGACAATAAGCAAATGCCAGTCGATGTGTTATGCTGCGCGCTTCGTTAAACAAGAATGAAATATTGAGTACCCTATAAGTACTCCATAGGCACCATAGTTACAATCATTAAAATGTTATGCCCGTAGTCGCAATTAACTAATTATTTTACAAGGGATAGAATTCCCTACCCCTATTTTCATACTGTCCAAATCGGGTTAAAGACAAACCTAACAAAGAGAATACCTCAGAGGGCTACATGTGCAGAAAAATATGGTGTTCTCATGCCATCGTCGTTGGAATTGCTGGACGCTACAAAAGAAAATCACGCAAACACTTAATTGATATACATAAATTTGATGACGCCCCCCTCCCCCCCTCCACATATTATAGCCTATCAAGGTCCGTCAGAAGTAAAGATAAAGTAGTTTTCTTAAAGTCGACGTCACGTTCATGCGTTTATACACCGATTTGTACGGACAATTCGTTGTCAATAAAAATTTTGCTTTTGCTAGTGTAAAGTCATTTGCATTATTGGTTCTTATTGAGTATTACTTACGGTTTGAGTATACGATTTACCCGAGTGTCACACGTTAGAAATTTCTACCGCAATACTTTGTGCCGCGCTATTCACTATCTCTCTTGTTTGTGTTATTATCTGTTACAGATAAGGTCCTTGTGAGCTTAAATGACCCTTACAACCAGACTTGAAAGGTAATTTCTATTTTCGACGACTGCTTTGTATAACGTTGGATTACATACTGGTTTTCGATACAATCGAATTGTAATTACTACATTTGTTTGATAATCATCTAACATAGCTCCGACATTTTCTGCAGAAGTCTGTTTTGATACTACCATGACTACGAGTTGATCCCCTTTTCTCTCGCTAAAAATTGATTTATATTTAAACATTGACATGATCGAGATATATCGAGTGTCGTATTTGTAACATTTGGGATGATTTATTGCATTATCCTCCATTGTTACAACAATATTATTGTTTATGATCTATCCTTGTCAACAATTATTTTCTTTTCTTCAGCTTATCAAGACCAGAACAAGGATCATTTAGTCTGCCTTGTTCCCCCTTTCGGTATTAGTATCTAACATCACAAATAACACAGCTAATATAAAGAATACAATACAATCGAACTAATAGAAATGAAGTAGGTATATTTTTCAGCAACGACTTAGGTACCTGCTGTAAGTAAAATCAAATGTTTCGGGACAATTTACAAGTCCGTTAACCTCTGTGTCGTTATATTTTTCAGTTACACAGGTTACGGGTAAAATCATCTGTTCGGTAGAATCAAAGTAAAATTTTCGCAGCCGGTAATGTAGAAACATCCACGCGTCGTCCGTTACTCTGACGAAAATGGCGGGTCCAAATGAAAATGCTAAATCATCCTCGTACTGCGTCGATAATGCGTAAATATCCGAGTTGGTAAAACTAAAAAGGTAATCCAAAAGGAATGACGATAAAAACTCGTGAGAGAAGGCGAGGAAAGTTAAAAATCTAAAAAATGTGTCTTAAGAAAAATACTGCCTAATATGTTTCTTAATAATAGTAACAGTAACAGCAATAATATCATGACTGGTAGGTGTTCTAAGAATTTTAGGGACAGCGTATAACCGGGTGGCCTGGAATACCCCCAGCAACGGAAGATGCGATGGTTCTCTCGCGAAAATGACCATAGCTGTGAGTGAACATTCTAGAATAATCTTTTGGGTAAAACCATCTATGTTTCTATTTGCTGGAAAGTATTCCATACCCCCAAACCCCCCGGGGGTAATCTAAATGTTTAGAACTTGAACTTCTTTTATGACACTTTTCCAAGCGAGGCCATCGATTTTTCTATTTTTTGGTGCATGTGATACATACCCCAGCCAATATTATGAATGTTCTAAATATTTTTAGCAATAGCGTATAACCGGCGGGTCACTGGGTGTATTCAATACACCCCAGTAACGGAAGATGCGATGGTTCTCCCGTGAAAACGTCCATAACTATGAGTGAGAGTTCTGGGATAATCTTGGGAGTAAAACCATTGATGCTTCCATTTGTTGACCCCAGACCCCCCGGAGCTAATTACCTCGTATTGTTTAACTGCAAAATACTAATCCGTAAAAACGTTTCGATGTAGTCACAAAGATATTAAAGAGGGAAAGAGAAAACCATTCCTAAGATAATTATGGTAAAGCCAAAAAACACACTAATATATAAACACTTGTACAGGTAGTCGGAAAAGTAATAGTTACCGAGACACAATTTCAAGTAATCAATTCGAAGGCAGTAACTTTACTGCGCGAAAAGAACGAAGAAAAATACAACTGCACCACAAAGGAAGGGATAAAATTAAGCGCAGAAAAGCACAAAGCGTTTCTAGTAACAAGACAAAGAAGTAAGTAAAATATATCTCTAACACTAAAAGGGCATCTAACGCCAAAATAAAGAACTAGGTGAAAGAAGTTTATAACACGAGAAAAATAAAACTATAGCTAAAATGACTAATACTACAAGAATAATTACCTTAAAATAGAACTAGGTAGTGGATTACAAACAAGATACTTGTAAGTATATCAAGTAAAAATTGGAAGTGGTATACTCAAAAATATAATTTCCATTTGCCTCTGTAACTGTGAAAAAATAAAATAAAAGAAAATGTACACTTCATTTTGCCTACGGCAGCTTAATATTTAACGTTATTTGAGTACACTGTATGAGAACTCAATGTGTATCTGTCGGTTGGTCTGTTTATCCATTTGTCTGTATGTCCGGATGTATAAAAATTTCATTCAAATTTGTCTCGCACATTCTAGTTGCCTCGAATAAATTTTGCTTTATTTTTTTAATATATCACGGACTACTCGATTAAAATATAAAAACCATAGATATAACGGTATCTTATTTTCAATCTTATGCTATGATAGTTCGTTGAAAAGAGAATTAAAAATTCTATTGAGTAATCTAAAAATCCAATATGGCGCCTATTTAACTTTAGGAAGTTGGTTAATGTTCCTCAAAAGTAGGCATCTTGAACTTTTTTGAAATCAATTCTAAATTAAGCATATCAGATACGGTAACTTTTATGTAAAACTTTTTTTTGTATGTCATATACTTTCGATGATATATGACATTCAAGGGAATGGCCAATTTTAGATTTTTTTTAAATTACGTCCAACGTATTCGACATTTTGAACTTTCACACGGAAATTTTGAATAAGCATCTAAAACTGCAAAACATTGTCCACTTAACCAATTCCCTATCTTTAATAATAATAAAGTTACCCATGCAATCCCACGCGATTTGGGACATACTGTATATTTTAGAAATCTGTAGGAAGTTTGGAAAATATACTTTGCAATGTTTCAAAATTGCATATTCTAGCGAAGCACCCGTTTTTGTCCAGGAAATATATAACTTTGATAAACACCCGGTACTTCTACGAACTTAAACGGGCGCTGCCTTACGAGAACTTGTAGTTCCACTCCTATGCATTTTCTTTTATAGGAGTGAAAATAGGAGGTAAAATTGATTACCTACTTTAATTTGTAGCACCGTTTTAGCTGCCGATAAGGATATCAAGATACTGTAACTAATTTTGTAGCCGTTGCCGTAGAGATATTTAAATTATCTTTGCAGTATTTGAAAGCTCTCCCCGATAGGAAGAGGAAGGAAAATTAGTATTTTAAGATTTCAGCTGCGTTAATTAATGATTAGCGGATTTTAATTGCTCAATGGCAATTTAAAACGAAGATAGAAACTGGCAATGTCACTCGTTTACACGTAGATAAACCCCATCCTGCCGCTCAATTAAAATTCCGATATCGAGAATTTGTCTGATTGAACTTTGTTTTTTTGCTTGACCTAATTGGACCATTTAATTTAAAGAAACCGATTTGCGCGACCTCCCGGACTTCGTCGCAATATGAAGCCTTAGAAATATCCGGGAGGTTTTAGAGAAATATTTCGGAAATTCCGAAAATATAGCGTTAACGTGTTACAAAATGTAAAAGGATACTGAAATGTTTTTGGAAATCTCTAATAGTACCTACTAAAAAGTAATTACAATTTCTGTTCACATTCATAATGTATCTACTATTCCAATTTGAGAAAGAAATGGCACGGATGGTATTGATTAATATAATACCACTTTGTGGTTTGCCCACCCATCGTTCTCTGGTCAGAACGGTGTATGATAGTGACGCTTTAGATTCACACCTGATACTGATTAATCAGAGCAATGCTACTTAATGCAAGTGCGAAATTTCCATGAAATTATGCGAAAAGCTTATTGTTCGGGAATGTTGTCACACTGTAAGCAGATTCATACATGATACACTGTATGTTACGAGGATTGGTTTCTCAATTTATTGAAAGCTTTTTAAATTTTTTTCAAAGAAAACGGTATCTCTTCCATTTTAATTTGTTGTTTGACACTGAAAAACATTTTATTGTGGTTATTTGTGCTTATACTGATCTAAAGTGAAGTTCGAAAAATTTTTCTGCTTTGGTGAATCGTATTATTGGATCCACTGAAACAACGAAAACGCTTGTAATCTAAAGGCACTCGTGTCCCCGGAAATTCTTACAAAAACGAGTTTTATTTTCCCAAGATGAAACTTAGTGTTTTTATATCAAAATAACAGGGACCCAAGGATATGCATTCAACTACCATTCGACCATTTATAAAAATAGATAAAGCGCAATCAGTGGAACTGGTAATTTCGAAAATAAACCATAACTCCAAATACGGCAGCTTGTAATGTAGCATTAAAGAAAATCTTATTAAGGAGACGAACTTTTCCATTGTACGAAAGCATAGGCTAAAGCACAGTTAATCTGTGGCTAAAGTTAGCGATTACTTCAGGAAGCGTGAAGAGGTTTATTATCTACCACTCGTAGACATGTTGCGTGCTGTTGTGAATAATAAGGGTGCACTAACCGCATAGTTTGGTAGACTTTAAAAGTTTGCTAGTAGGTACATTATTCCACACAAAATGAGTTTCAATTTTTCATTCGGTAAAAGCTAAAATGAAAATTTAAACGGGTGGGAAAGCTTTTCGATATTACATGCACCAATATTACAAACCCATTAAAATTTAAACCAAATTTAGTGTTAGTTAAAACAATTACATAAACGTAAATGAGGAAAACACCTGGGATCATTTAAGTTACTCCATGACGCCTCTGCCCGGTAATCAAAAAGTTCAGTAAATGGCAAAGAAATAAAAAGTTAACATTCTAGTTCTGTGGAAATTGAACAGAAACTTTTTTTCATTTGGTTCATGGATAAAACAGCAGGTTTTCTCGGTAATAAGGTCTACACATCCGTGTGAATTACATTCTTTAGAAAAACGTGCAAAATTCTGTTTGTCTATGGTGAGCTCAACCTAGGACACACGGTATAAATTAAGAAGAACGCTATTAAGAAGCGTCAATCGACAGGGACAAAGTTACTGAACATATTTTATAATTAGATATAAGTAGTTCCAAAGATCGACT